GGGGGGGGGGGGGGGGGGGGGGGGGGGGGGGGGGGGGGGGGGGGGAGAAACAGGAAATAACCATGTATTTTTGAGAGAAAAAGATTATTTGCTTCTTTGATTCACATCTCACTGAAACAAATGATATGAAAACCCATATGCCACTCAGGACACAAAAACAAGAAAATTTCAAGTCAGAGTGTTGGGGAGAGATTCAAAACACCATCCTCACAAGCACGTTACATAGGCTGAGTCACAGGTAAGGGTCACACACCTATTCCAGGACACACTGAAGAGTTCCAAGAGAGCAGACACTCAAACACAAGCAAATCAGCACCTCTTACAATTCCTTTATGTTGCAAGAGAACTGCTCAACAGTTACATGTCAGGCTAATTTTTTTTAAATACCATTTATGCTTAACTCTTGGGTATCTTATTTTTTTAACATAAAGAGTGGGTTTTAAAAGCACCCATGTCAGTACCACTGTTATTCCACGGCATCCACAGCCTGAGACGTTCTAACACCTCTAGGAACTTACTTGTCTATTGTCCAAAAACCTCTGTTCTCAAAACCCACTGCTCTAGTTTTTGAGACTCACGATACATATACTACAGACCCTCCAACAGCATTTGAAAATCTCCCAAACAATGCTGGAACCAGAGAAAGACTTCTTCGCCTGAATTCTGGGGTTTCTGGTTACTTTCCCAAGAAGACCAAATACCTGTGCTAAGTATTAGCCTCAATTCCATACGCTGCTCTCTGCAAAACAGCTCCTTACCTCATTTTAAAGACAAAGGAACCAGCAATCATCTTCTCGTTCTATAGATGTGCATGACAGGCATCCAGGGAGAGTTCCAGTTCACACCTGGGCCAAGGATGGCCCAGGCAGGGTTCCCACACCATCCTGCACACACAACTCATCTGGGGCTTGGTTGAAAATGCAAATCCACAGGCCTCATCTCACATTTTTTTGAATCAGAAAAATCTGAAGCTGGAACCCAGGAATCTGCATTTTAACAAAGAGGCCTCTTTAAGACACTGAGGTGATTCTCCTGTGCACTCAAGTCCACACACACTGCGATGGACAGCTAGACAGGCCCTCCAGGGAACTGAACGGAGCTATTTTCAGCACCGGCCTTGGCCATTTACCTTCTTTACTTCATTCATCCCATAAACAAGGAACAAGCTCCTGCATATGCACCTTCAAGGACCTGGAGAAGGATAAATTCAACAAGATGTGTCAAGAGCCTTGGGCTTCTTACGGGAAGCAAGGATGTAAACTAAAACACATCACCTTTGCAGATCATAAAATACTCTTTTAGGAGTAAAAATAAGTTCTATCCCTAGGAGAAAACGGCATTGCTATGCTTGAGATACATTCAAATCTTATTTGACGATATTTTTACTCATTTTTTTAAGTCTAAATCTGCAGCTTTATACCATACAAATAGACTGTTTTCTTCCCCAACTTCTACCAAATCTTTGGTACGCATACATTTTGAGCAAAAGCTTAAACGAATTTATTATGTCAATCAAAGCTCTCTTTAAAAAAAAAAAATCTGCTCAAGTTGTCCCCAAATCTCTCTCTTCTGAGATTTCCCCTCTGAGCTCCTGACCCACAGATCTAACTGCCCCTCTGACATGGTCCCAGAGCATCACGTGCACCCCAAACTCAGCTCGTCCCAAGTGAACCCATCATCCTCACCTCCTCCTAAAATTAACAGTAAATTTTAGAAAACCGTCTCGGTACTTAATGCTACAGATTTGTACACTTAAAAATGGTTAAAATGATAAATTCTATGTTGTATATATTTAACTGCAATAAAAAGGTTTTGTTTCAAGCTAGTCCTTCTCCACTAGTGCCCGTATCAGTCAACAGCACCACGGGCTGCCCACAGTGACTCACCCGACCCCGCCTTCTCTCAGCCCACCGCACCAATCAATCCTGCGTCTTAGAGCTTCTCAACCATCTCTCACGGGGCTGACTCGAGCAGCCTCCTCTCTGGTCTCCTATGTCCACAACGGCCACCAGCAATCCCTGTTCTACCCGACAACCAGAGTGAGCTTCTTACAACGGAAGTCACATCACATCATTCTCCTATTACAGCCTTCAACAGCTTCCTACTGCTCTAAGGACAAACTTCGGTCCCTGTCAATCTCTCCACTCTGGTCCTTTCTCCATTCCATTCCTCCAGCACCAAGGCCCCAGGTCCTCCGTCCCCCATGTGCCCCCCACCAGATAACTGATTGGGGTGACCAGATAATTGATTGGGTTGGGGGGGAGTTGTCCTATGCATGTAGGATGTTCAGCCACACCCCTAGCTCTAGATGCCAGCAGCACTCCCCGCCAAACCACCCCAGGGACAACCAAAACGTCTCCAGACATCAACAAACGTTCCCGAGGGGCGGGGTGGGGTTGAGAACCACTGCTCAGGACTCCAGGCTAAAGCCGTGTCTCTCCCCGCACCGCGTTCTCACAGCGCTGAGCATGGTGTAGTTAGTTTCTGGTGTAATGCGTGTTTAATGTCACCTTCCCTTCAAGACTGCAAGCCACATGAGGGTAGGGACGGACCAGATCTGTCCTCTTCCTGCAATATCCCCAGTGATTGACACAGAGTAGATATTCAACACTTTTTGAATAAATGAAAGAAACTTTGAGTACAGTTTTCCCTTTTAACACTATCTTTAAATTAACATTTCCTACTAGTTTACATCAGCACCTCCACTGAATCGAGTTTCTCTGGGGGTAGCTTAGTGACCAGAGCTTTGAAACATGGTATTAAGGGAGACTTTCAATCAATAATAGGTCTCATGAACCCCTAACACTATAGTTTTTCCCTTATATTGGGAAAGATGGAATTAACACTCTTGCATATTGTTCTTAAGCAAGAATCTGTGCAACGCCAAAGATGGATCACACAGAATGCTACAAGGACGTGAAACATCTAAAATTGGCAAACTTCCCATAAGCAATCCCTTTGTGCCTAGAAATCATGCTTCTTTATAATGTTTCTAATGAAAAGATAAAACTCTGGCCCTCAGTGCCCTAAAGGAGGCCAATTATTAGGACTGACTCAAGTACAGGGCCCACAATGTCTGCCCCAGGGGAAGTTAACGAAAGGGTCAGGGCTTCTCCTCCCCACCCCCACCCATTTGAAACAGATGCTCTTCCCCCCAAGGAGTTTGACCACTGGCTACAGGCAAACTCCCCTGGGTCAAGTCCATGACCAAGGAGGCCATGCCAACTTGGGAGTCCCGGACTACCTGGACGACAAAGAATCCAAACAGACGGTAAAATCTGTGCCAGTAATATCTGAGTACTGCTTAAACAATAAAAGGAGGGTTAAAAAGGCAAAAAAAAAAAAAACTTGGAGTCAGGCCTGACTCTTGGTGTCCTAAAATGTCTGACTCACTTCAATGAAGAGAATGTGAGCAAGACCTGCCTCAGAAGGAAAAATCATCCCTAATTTTGGCAGGTGCTGAGAAATACAATCTTGACTCATACAGAGTGGAAACAGGAATAAGAAAGATAAAAGTTAATATCTATTATTTTACCATTGGTTCAAATAGCATTTTGTATCTCATGCGGTAAAAGTCTGGAAATAGGCGATCCAGGGCTAACATCGTGCTCCACATCCATCTAGCACCCAGGTGGTGCTATCCTTTCTGCTCTACCATCCTTACTACTGGCTTCCATCTTCAAGGTCACCTCATGGTCACAAGATGGCCACTACGGCTCCTACCATCAGATTCACATAATAGCATTACGAAGAAGGATGAGACAGTGGCAAAAAAAAAAAAAGGCCTGCATCCCAGCTCGGTGAGCCACCTTTAATAAGCTTTACCAAGAGACCCACCCAAAAATCTCTATAGATAGCTCACTGGCTACCTATTCGCAAGGGCCACTGAGAACTGTATTCTCACTGGACACACTTCCACCTCCATCACCATTCCTCCACCCTTCCCCTTACCCCCTGTATTTCTAGTTGGCTAGGGCTGCCACAACAGAAACCATTCAACAGGGTGGCTTAAACAAGAGAAGTTTATTTCTCACAGTCCTGGAGGCTGGAAGTCCAAGATCAAGGTGTCAGCAGGGTTGGTTTCTGCTGAGACTTCTCTCCCTGGCTTGTAGATGGCTGCCTTCTCACTATGTCCTCACATGGCCCTTTCTCAGTTTGCGTGCATCCATGGCGTCTCTTCCTCTTTTATAAGGACACCATCAGTCCCACTGCGTTAGGGCCCCACTCTTACGAACTCATTTAACCTTAATTACTGCCTTAAGGGTCCTGGCCCCAAACAGAGTCACATGGGATTAAGGCTTCAACATACGAATCTGGGGGACACAACTCAGTCTATAACAGTCTTGATTATCTATGAGAGTTTTAGTCAGGAAAAGAAGGAACTGAGGGTAAGTGAGTAGGCAGACAGCAGTCTCTGCTACAACAGAATCAGGATGTGCTAAAACTGTGATAGATGGCAAAGTTCTAGTATTTTATCTAGTTTGTGCCTCCCATTTGATATGAGAAAACTGAGGCTGAAAGCCATGAGAAGCCACACAGTGGCTGACCTAGAGGTATGAATAAATCTTCTGATTCTAGAACTGGCACCGGACTTTAAAATTGGAATTACAATGAATTTGTCTATACAAGCATAAGGGTTTAAAATAAATTTTCTTTTGAGAAATTGACTTTTCTCAAAAACTAAAATGAATATGCTACAGTTTGTGGCAAAACTAAACTACATACAGTCAGGCCAACCTTCTAAGGGGTAAATTTAAGGTATTTTTAAACTATCAGGATAGTTCACATGCCTCAGAACTCCTATTATATTCTCTGTTTCAGCAAGATTCCAGGAATCTTGATTTCAACATATATAGAGTGGGTATCACATCTTTGTACATCTTAGTGACCCCCTCCCAACATCAAAGCAGAGCTCAATAAAATGAACTCACGATTTACTTCAGACCTTGAAGAAAACAGCTTCCTGTCTGCACCAGTCCATGAAAGCTGTTCACAAAGCCATAATGTCTCATAGGGACTTTTAACAGGTTCTATGTCTCGTTTACTGTGCTTATCTGACAACTTCACAATGCTAATAGACATCTCTAAAAATGTGTTGACATTTTAGTTCATCCTGAAGGTCCTTTAATGTATTATCAAGTTTGAACAGTGCAAATATTCCCCTAAGTGCAGTAAAAAATAGATACACATAGCAATACAAATGTGCATTTCAGCCCATCTACTGAATACATTACACACAAATATTATACCCCCAGTACCGCATTATAAAGTGCAGTGCTATAAATAGAATGCCAGCGCCAGCTACCACCCACCCCATTCGGTGAGGTGCAAAACTTCCAGACAGCAAGCCAACTGATGCAGGAGGAGTCACCTAGCCAGTTTCCCACCCCGCCAGCCTCCCCTTCTCCCAGGGCCGCCCCCAGTAATGCATTCTTTCTTGCACTAAAGCAGATCTCGCCAAGTTCAGCAGCGCCCCACCGTCAAACGCAGCCTTCTCTGCCCAAGGTGCTCCAACATTTTTAATTACATTGTTGCTTGCTTAATCACGCGAATGAACAATTAATTGCCAATTAATCTCGCTCGATTTTCCCACTTACTGAGCACCTATAGAAATGCCAGGGGTACACAAATAAGGTCCTTATTAGGAGAGTTTAAATCTAAAGAAACATGGTCTGTAACGGTCCCAGTGGGCTACCAAAACAGCAATGTACAATAACACTATGTCTTTTCGTAAGTGGCCCCCTTCTGCCATTTCTAAAAATCTGAAATTACTGCCTCTTAGGCTGGAAACACAAAAGTCTGGGTCAGAAGACAATAACCCTGAAAACACGGAAAAGGGACTAATTTTTCCCTCCAGCTTTCAAACTTAAACCTCATCATGAAAGTCAATTATAATGATTTTTTTCAAACTTTTATCACATCCTTTTATGATAAACGGGAGAAGACGCTCTTGCGAGGAGAACGGAGGAAAGCAGCGGCGGGGTATTCCGGCAGCCGCAGACCCGACGAGCCTCGCCCCCGAAGTGCTCTCGAATTCCCCCGCAGCCCCGGGGCTCGGGAAGGCCTCCGCCGACGCCCACGCCGAGGCGGGCCGGGCGCGCCGCTCCTCCCCCGGCTCCCGGACTCCGCAGAGGGGCCGCCGCCCGGGGGCATCGCCGCCCCGGCCCGGCGCGGACTCGGAGCCCGCGGGCAGCCCCGAGGGAGCGGGCGCGGGCGGAAGGCGGGGGGCGGGCCGCGGCCGCTCGCCTGCTCTCAAAGTTTCTCGCAGTTGCCGCTTCCTCGGCGCTTCCTGTGGGGGTGGGCGCCGCGCCCCGCCGCCCGGCCGGCCGCTCCCGGCGCAAGGGGGCGGGCAGGCGCCAGGCGGCCCGGGCGACGACGGGGACTCGCGCGCCGAAGGGGGCCGGGCTCCGCGCCCCGGGGTCCCGAGGAGCCGGGTGCCCCCGGGGCGCCGCGAGAGGGCGCTGCTGCCGGCGCGGCGGGGACGGGACGGCGGGACGCGGACGCCCGCGGGGCAGGGCAGGGCGGCCCGGCGCTTGCCTCCGGGCTGGGGCGCGGGGCGCGGGAGGCTGCACCCGGGAAGCCCACGCCTCTCCCGTGCGCGCCCGGGCCGCCCGCTACTTACCCAGGGAGCAGGTGAGGAGCGAAAGCAGTGCCGAGAGCGCGAGGCGGCGGCCGCGACAGGCAGGCAGCCGCATCCCGGCGACAGGGACCGCGCGCCCTGCCTGGGCGCGGGGACGGGGGACGCGCGGGAGCGGAGCTGCGCCGCTGCCGCCCCTGCCGCCGCGGCTGACCCTCCTCCGCCGGCTCCCCTCCTCCCTCCCGCGCTCCGCCGCGCCGGCCCGCGCCGCGCCCTCTGGCGGCCGAAAGCGGGAGCGGCCCTCTGCGCTCGGCCGGCGCCCGCCCGGCTCGTGGCTCGCGGCTCGCGGCTCGCGGCTCGCGGCTGGGGCCGGGCCCCGCCACCGGGTGAGGGTAGAGATAGCCACTCCTTCATGAGGACAGCGCCCTCCTGCCAGGCGTCTGACCTCTGCTCGCTGCGGCCGCTCGTCTCCACTCCTTTCCCTTCCTCTCCCTTTCCTAGGCCCCATTCTCTACCTTCATGCTGTCCCGCCTTACTCTGTCACCTCCCTGTCCTGGATCCCCAGCAATAGGTCAGAAGTTCCCCTTCTTACCCCCAAAAGTGAAGGCGGGGTACAGAGGAAGGGAAGGAAAGTCACTCTTCTTCCCTGCTGCTGTACCATCTGCTATAAAAAAAAAAAAAATCAATCATTCGACTCAGTATTGTTGACACCAATGTTCTATTTTGATGAAGGTGTTTTTGATCAGCTCAACTAATTTACTTAATATCCTCTTTTTTAGTGGAATTTGGCCCAATACTTAGGCTTGGCTTTTAATAGAAGTTTGTGTAAATGTAATTTTAAGTGTTCACCATAATGGAAGAGGGAGGGTGTGATTTTATTCAAAACACCTGATAAAATCAAGTTGGAACACAGCAAAGCGGAGTGATGTGCAGAAACCTCGTGCAGAGAGTCCCTCTTGTCCCCATGGGACTGTCAAGGGCTCCCTGCCCAGCCAGGAAGGGTGGTGGCCCTGGTGAGGGCCAGCCCCCTTGTGTGGTAAACGGAAGAGGAAAGCCATGGCAAATGAAGAAGTAGAAACCGCCTCTCATGGTCCGCACTCCCTTGTGCCTGCTCCAAGCCCTGACTCATTTCTGTCTCCACAGGAAGTCGACAGGACCAAGTGCTCCTGGCTTACCCGACGTTAAACCATGACCTCTTGAGGTCACATCCATGTTGTCATGCATACGTCCTCATATGCTGTGGTGCCCACTATGTGCCTGGAACTGTGCTAAGCACCCTACTAATATGAGTATCTTCCACCTGGACATGGAACATTCACCCACTCACTAAATACTCGGAGACCAGTGCCAGGCCTGGGAATACAAGTAAGATGTGGGGGAGACAGAAGCAGGTGCTGAAGAAGTGTTTGTTGGCCTGAACCCTGTAAGTGTGAATGCCCCTAGGGGTTTAGCCTCAAATGTATTAGGACAGTATTGTCATTTGTCCTTGCAACAGCTACTGCAAATTTTTTAAAAAGGAAGTCTGGAGACAATGGGCTTTCTCTCCCTGGTTTATACTGACTTCCTAAAACTGGAAACTAAATATTTTGTGTGTTATCCATTTGTTGTGAATGCAAACAGTGCCATTTTGTTCCATTCAGCCAGGGTTCGTGGCTACGTGTCAATCCCTCTTCTATGGGAGGGAAGAGAAACATAAAACTCGACGTAAAACATAAAGAGAAAAGAAACTTTCTTTCATTTTCAGTGAGGTTTTTCAAGTTTATGGTTGACTGTGTTGATCCCTTTTAACTTCCTTCTAAAACTTTCCTGCCTGGTTAAGAATTCTAGAAGGTTTCCAATTTCCAAAGCTGTTTAGCTTTCTTCCAAGAAAATATTCCTCACATATATTAAATATGAAACATTAAACCAAGGTGTGTTTAAATAGACACAGCAGCCTCGTAATTAGCAGCTTGCTTACCAGATATGTGTTCGAATACCTACTGCACATTGGGTAGCAAGCAACTCTAGGAGCTTAATCAATGTTTTCATCAAAATTCCTCATGTTAGAGCAGTAGTGTGTGCTGGAACAGGTGTGGGAAGTGGAGCCCTAAAGACGGCAGAGCACACTGTGTTTCAGTAGTAAACCTGCCCTGGCCTCCTTTCTTTCCACAGGACACAGAGATAAATGGCACATTACAAAGCTCCATAACTCACATTTTAAAGAGGATTACCTTTCACTTACTCTATCATATGATAAATGGACTTGCTGGGAGTTCTCCCTCCCAATCACAGGTTGAGATTTTCCTGGAACAAAGCGCACTCACGAGGATGCTCACTAATTCCTGGCGAGGCGCTGCTTGCCTCAGTGCCACTTTTGCCATCTGAAACACCAACTAAGGGGACAGCTTTCAATACAAAAAAATAAATCTCATAAACTCTAAGACTGTGATATGAAGAAGGAGCAAGCCATAGCTCTCTCTTCCTAGGGTTCACTCACCTTACGTCCAGATGCCACTCTCGTCCTGGCCCCTGCACGTGTGCCCTCCCCTGGGGCAGGAGTGGAGCAAGGAGTCACCTCTTCTGGTGCATTATGAATTATTGCAACATGATTAAAACAAGCTGGTAAATTTTAAAAGTCTTTTCTAAAGACTAAAGGAGAACATTAAGACATATGCATAAAACCATAGATAGCCAAATAATCGAATGAATAAGTTCCAAACAGATGGTTTCTGATCTTACAATAACTATACGTTCCGCCCAAAAGGCTAGACTGCATTCGTTCATTCCCCTGATAGTGAACGCCTGATAGCTGGCACGCCCACTGCTAGGCTTTGGGGCAGACACAAAGAAGCATAAAACGTGGCACTGGGCACAAGAGTTCACTGTCCAGTTAGGGAGACAAAAACATTCAGAAGTAATTTTACTGCCATGGGATAAATGCTATCTAGCACAGGGAGATGGGAACACTTTGGAACATAGGTGAAAACAAACTCTATCATGACCATGGGAGTTGGTCAGAAAGGGGGAAGTGACTTTTGTGCAGGGTCTTAAAGGAGAAACAGGAGGTTCCTGGGCTGAGAAAAAGAGGAAAGACACCCCAGGCCAAGGCAGCATGCACAAGGCACAGCAGCCCACAGAGTGTGGCAGATGAGGAGCGGCGGTGAGGTGGCACAGGCTTCTCCACCCCCCCAGCCTGCTGCCTCCCTCAGTGACCTAGAAGAGGCTTTCTGGGCATCCTATTCCTGACCAGCAGAAGCCAAGGGACAATTCCACTCTGCATTGTCTCGAGGCCCTCTCACATGGTTTCAAGAGGGCCATTCTTGGGGCTACCCCATGGCCAGTGGTTACCTCTGGCGCACTTCACTTCAGTGGCCCAGGCCCAGTTCCCAGGTGCAGACCTACACCACTCCATGGCAGCCATGCTGTGGCAGCAACCCACATACTAAATAGAGGAAGATCAGCACAGGTGTTTGCTCAGTGACAGTCTTCCTCAGCAAAAAAAGAAAGAAAAGAAGGCCATTCTCTTTGCACACAGAGAAATGGTCTTATGAATTATGAATGCCCTTAGGGATTACTTTCCAAACCTGAAACTAGGGCTAGGGTCTGCCAGCAGACTAGAATGTCTAAAACTGGGTCTCTAGGATATAAGGTCATTGTGATCACGAGACCTACGATTTAAATGTCTGCTAACGACACCCCACACCCCTGGAATCAGGGCACACCTGGTAACAGGAGAGCAGCCATTCACTTCACTTGATGCTTTAACCTTTAGGGAAGCAAGAGAGTCTTTATCCCCCATGGGAGAAGAGTGAAACGGGAGGAAAAGAGACAGCAAAAGCCTTCATCGCTCAGAGTAGATTCAGGGCCACTGCCTCCCGCTGCAGCAGTGCTCAGGAAGAACGCCGAGGACAGAAACAAGGCGGTCTCTCCAACACCCTAGAGGAGCTGGTCTCACCGTGCTTCCAAAGCTATTCAAAAATTATAGGTGAAATTGTTCCAGTAAATCAGACTCCAACCAAGAGTTTTACCCAAAGAGACTTAACCACGGGGTCTTACAGACTAACAGAACCCTTTGCCATTCGATTTTCTGTCCTTTTGAAGACATAGAGTGGTATAAAGTCTTCTCTGTAAAAAAGAGCTATCTCCTAGAAACTTCTGATCACAAATAGATTATCCACTGGGCTGTTTTGTTCTCCCTCCTAGAATCACATATCCTTCAGTTCTCAGGAAAGATCAGGAGTTGCTACTAACAGGCGTATCAACAGGAGCACCAGGAGGTGTCTACATTTGACTTTTATTAGGAATAAAAGGCGTGGGCCATGACTGTCCAGCAGCCTACACGAAATGTGTTGGTGTTTTTGGTGCTATTGCTAATAAGTAGTTTTTCATTTTACAACAGCTGCTTTCAGATGTAGGATCCTAGTTAACAAGCTAAACAAAATGAGTAAAAAACTTTCATTTATCCATCAACAAACATGTCACAGAGTAACTGCAGGTGTGAGGCCCTCACGCGGCCTCCTGAGGTTGAGAAGAGAGATGCATTTTCCTGGAACAATCACAGTCTAGTTGAGAGGAACAGGATGCACATAAATAGCCACGAGCCCGGGTGGAAGACGGCAAGTACTTGAAGAAGCGTTTTAACTAAGTATGACAGCAGTGCAGGGAGAAGGAAAGCACCTCCACGTGGGGGCCTCGAGAAGGCCTCAGGCCCGGGGCAGTTGAACTGGGGGTTAAGGAGCACACAGACTCTCGGCAAATAGAGAAGGAGAGCCGGGCAAGCAGTGACATGGAAGCCAGGAGCTGTGCATTCAGAGACTGATGAGGAGTTCAGTCTGGCCAGTTTGGGCCACTTTGAGGAGGACCTTGAATGCCATACCTAGGAGACTGACCTTCCACTGAGTGTGGCAGTGAGGGCAGTGGAGACATGGGAAAGACATTTCAGCAGGTGGTGACAAAAATCTCCACTAGGAAACTGTAGCTGCCAAGGCCTGTCTTGTGTCCTAAGTCTGCAACCCCGTCAGAGGGCCCAGTACACAGTTGATGTGTGTTGGGTTCTGATTTAATGAAGGAGCTATGTTGTGAGCAAATTAATTCTGGATGGATTGGAAAAGGGATGGAAGACAAGAAAGTGGGTTTAAAAAAAAAACCATGAGAAAAGAAAAAAGAAAGGAAACTAACACGTGCTGAGCACATGCTATAGATAGGCACTCTGCCTGTTTCTTTCCAATATACTGTTTCATTTAACCCTCAAAAAAAGTATGAAAAGACTGTTCTTATGACTAATTTACAGATTAGTAAACTGTACCTCAGGCAAGTCAAACACCAACAGCTAGAGCTGCTTAAATGGCAGTTTCTTTCCATGAAATCATGTTTGGTTTTTCTCAAATGTTCTAGCAGCTTTTTTTTTTTTTGTATACTTTTTGGTGAGAAAGATTGGCCCTCAGCTGACATCTGTTGCCAATCTTCCTCTTTTTTTTCTTCTTTTTCACCCCAGCCCCAGATCATAGTTGAAGTCCTTCTAGTTCTTCTGTGTGGGATGCCACCACAGCATGGCTTGATAAACGATGTGTAGGTCCATGCCCAAGATCCAAACCAGTCAACCCAGGGCCGCTGAAGCAGAGCGCACAAACTTAACCGCTACGCCACTGGGCCGGCCCCTGAAATCATGTTCTTTAACTACAGTCACAGCAGCAGGAATAGCAGAGAAGGGACCACTGTGAAGGCATGACAGAGATTGATCAATAGTACTTATGAGTGAGTGGATATTGGTTGGAGCCAAGAGAGAGACCTCAGGAGACAGATGGAACAATTAACTAGAATGGAGATCTGCCAGAGGAATGAGTTTGTGGAGAAAAATGAAACATTATTATCTTTACTACTATTATAAATAGCTATACCTACACAGTATCAATAATGAACAGTAATCGCTAACATTTAATAAACATTTATTATCTAGCAGGCACTACACTGAGTGCTTTACATGCATTATTTCTTGTTAAATAATATTTCATGTAATTCTCCAAACAGCCTTATTCCTATTTCAGAGAGGTTAAGTACCTTGCCTAAGGACAGCGATTCTTACAGTGTGGTCCATGATCCTCCTAGGGGTCCCTGAGACTCTTTCAGGATGCCCAAGTTCACAAAGTCAAAACAATTTTTATAACAATACTAAAATACCTGCTTTTTTCTGTGTTGAATTTCCACCAATGGTGCAAAAGCCACCGTGGGTAAAAGTGTGCTTGCATTAGCACTGATCAAGGCAGGGGCAACAAACTACCCCTGCGGTGGAAACCACAGCACAGAGGGCTCTTCAAGAAGTTTTAAGAGTATAAAGGGGTTCTGAGACCAAGAATTTTGAAGACTGCCAGTTTAGGACATATAACTTGTAAATTGTGGGAGCCAGTACTCAAACCCTGGTCAATCTGATTCCAAAACCCTTTCTCTTACCCTGAATTACTCCCTGTTTAGTTTTAGATTTATTATATTTGAGGTGCCAAATTTCCAAGAATCCCACTTTGCCTCTCAGTCATCTAATTAAACCCTAATCATTAGGGATTTAAGATAATAATAAGTGTCAGTTAGATGGGCAAAGTTACGCTATGGGAACAAACAACCCGAAAATTTCAGTGGCTTAAACTTACAAAGGCTTTCTGGGTCATGCCAAGTCTGTTGCTGGCCCGGGCGACCCTCCAGGCCAGCTGTTCTCCATTGTCAGTGATCTGCAGTCTGGCTGCCATCTCAGCTCAGGTTCTCCTCCACAATCATTGTTGGAGGGGAAGAGCGTGGTAGAGAGCCAAGCACCATCCGTCAAATGCTTCCAGCGACAGGGACACAAGTCATCTCTGCTCGGGTTTCATTGCAGGATGGGGAAGGTACAGTCCCCCTAGCCCAGATAGGGGAAGGCTGGATACTGCTGAGCCCATCTACCCTTCCTCTGCGCCTCCATCCTGAAACACCCTGTCCTCTGCTCTGAAGAGATCTGTGCTCGATGCTAGGGGGCATGAATAAGGTTGAGAACTTAGCCTCTGCCCTACAAGAACTCGCAAAATATCTGCAAAGAAAAGAGGAAACTACAAACATGTCGCCTTATCTTTGTACAGCTCTTCACTGTTTACCAAGTCACCACACAATATTCACTGGACAGGGCAGTTAGAGGAGAAGTCCAGATGAATCGAAGAGTCTTGAGTGTTCTTGGGAGAAAGAAAACTCTGGCTTGGAAAATCAAGAATGGGTTCAGGGAGAAGGTGAGATTAGGAGAGAGGTCATGAAATGAGGGAAGGACCCAAAGTAGTAGAAATGGAACAGGGATGAAAAAACGAAGGAAAACAAAATCTGTGAAGGAAGAGATTTTTGCAGAAGGCAAATAGACCAGTGTGGCTACAGTTTATCATGTGGGAAACTGTATTGCTAACACACAAAGACGACATCATGAGTAAGAAGACAGGAGAGGTGTCTAGAGAGGACAGTAGCAAGTCCGGGAGTGGAGCGCAGGCCCTGGTCAGGGCTCAGGTCCCTGGTAGGAGAGAGTGCAGCTGGCCAGGCCTTTGGGAAAAGAGGCCACGGGGCCCTGAGGACGTCTTATTAATGGATCAGAGAAATGTTAGGCTTAGAGATATAGACATTGCTTATTTTAATTGAAGAAACTAGAACCAACACGTGATTTATGTCTTTTTTTCTAAAAATGTATCTCCTTTGTAATTTCCCAACTTCAATAACAATAAAATAGCTGTGGCATGATAAGGTCTTACACAAATGAAAATACAATTTTCAGAGATAGCATTCTACCAGCTTTAAGTGGATGTTGGAATATCTTGCTTAAATTAAATTGTCGTGTTCTTTGTCAAGTAGGCAAGTCCTGTTTTTGTGTTTCCCTGCTTTGTACACCGACAGCCGCTTTTGGAGGGACACAGAGAAAAGAGAGGAAAGAAGCAAACACCAAATTTTAGATGCATGTTATGCCTCTGCTCAGGGAAGCTGCTGTGACTCATTGAAGAACTTGGGGGTTGACTGAGAATAGAGAAACTAAAGTGGGGTAGCGGTAATGGAAGAGAAGAGATTGCAAGGAGGAGCACCGCAGGCATAGAATTTAAAGGACTTCCGAATGATTGGAATCAGCATATTCTTTCTGTGATCCCCACAAGGTAACATCCCTTAGTCTGTTTAAATGTTTGAGGTTAAATCATAAAATATATAATGCTAGCACAGAGTAAGGAAGTTGAGGCAAGATGGTTGAGGCCTTGAATGGCAGGCTTACAAGGATGTCCCTTCTCTGATAGTCAGTAGGGAACCATTGTGTTGTTGACAGGCTGACACTCATCAAAGAAGTCCATTAAGAAGACACTGGTGGCAGAGTCCAAGACACACTGGGGTGAGTATAGATGGATGGCAGTGATGCGGGTTGAAGACTGTTGCAACAGTCCAGGCATAGGTCAATAAGGAGCTGAAGGAGAGTCGTGGCTGCAGAATTAGAAAAAGAAAGTGAATGCAAGAGTTATGTTGAAGGATAGATCAAAAAGATTTAAGATTAACCAGAAGGCGTTAAAAATGATTCTGAAGTCTGGAATCTGAGTGGTTAACCATCGTTGTTAGAGAAGTGAGGGAGAAGAACATATTAATTTAAAATTTTCTGTATTAGACAAATTGCATTTGAGGTGAGGGTAGGCCACCTAAATACAAACGTTCGGTAAGCAGGTAGACATGAGGACTGGAGGTTAGAGAATAGTCAGAGATTGAAATACAGATTTGAAGTGACAAAAGAATGGGAAAAAAATTCATTACAGTCACTAAGAGAAGAGGGAGAGTGGCTCTTGGCAGAACAGCAAGTTGGGGACACCATCTGGGGGCTACTAGATTTTTTTCCTTCTTGACACCAAATACTTGGTGTCTTTTCCAACAACACTTCTCCAACTCTCTGACACCAGCTGGGTGTACAACAATTCAATTCAATTCTGACGCTATCTACTCCAAATTAGTGTCAGATCAGTCCTACAGACTGCCCCCACTTCAGATGCCAGTGGCAAGTCTGGGGTCACTCATACTTCCGAACGACAGGCTATAAATTGAGGGTTCCCACAGCCTTCTCTACGGGTTCCATAATTTACTAGAACAGCTCACAGAACTCAGAAAGACACCTCGCTTACATTTACCAGTTTATTATATAGGATACAAATGAACAACCAGATAAAGAGCTACATATGGTGAGGGTCAAGAAAGCTCCCAAGCACAGGAGCTTCTGTCCCCATGGAGTCGGGGTTCACCACCCTCGTGGCGTGCAGATGTATTTGACAACTTGGAAGCTCTCCAAATCTCATTATTTAGGGGGTTTTATGGAGGTTTCGTTACGTGGAAATGATTGATTAAATAATTGGCCATTAGCGATTAACTCAATCTCCAGGCTCCAGCCTCCATCTCTCCCCTCTCTGGAGGTTGGGGATCAGGGGGATGATGTTGAAAGCTCCAAGCTTCTAGTCAAGGCTTCACCTTTCTGGCAACCGTCCCCATCCTGAAGCTATCTAGGAGCCCACCAAGAGTCACCTCATTAGAACAAAAGAAACACCTATCACACTTATCACACAGGAAATCCCAAGGATTTTAGGAGCTCTGTGCCAGGAACCAAGGAAAAAGACCAAATATATTTTTATGATACCACATGGGCTGTCCTCATTTAAGGGCCAAAGGGAGGAAGAGAAGCAAGAGGCAAAGCGATCTGAGAGGTAGGAGGGAACCAGACTAGGCAGTGTCAGGGAGTTAAGACAGGGTCATTCCAGGAGACAGAAGTGGACTTTTAGCTCTCCTTTGACTCTCTAGAATCTAAGCCCCTCTGGTACATTTGGGGAATTCCTCATCATCTAAGGCGGAGCCTGATCACTTTCCCAGCCTCCCTTTCAGCTAGGAAGCAGGGGTATAACCTAGACAGAGTGCCAGCCAGATGCTCAGGCCTCAGGCTCTGAACAAGAAACTAGCGATGCTCCAGAGCACCCTCTGCAGTGAACAGTGGCAGCAGTGACAGGTACAGTCAGTGTTGGTGCCACCAACAATGTAAGCAGCAGATTCAGTGGATCAATCTCCAACATGATATGGGGACTTATTCCTGGCCTCTAGGCCTGGTTCCCTGTCCCTCCCCGACATCTAGGCCCCAAGCCCCCCAGATTGTTTGAGCTACCCAGTACGTTTCTGTTCCTTTTAAAATCAGCCAGACTGATTTCTGTTGCTTGCAACTAAGACCCATGACTAGTATAAAAAAGTTGCTGACAATGTCCAGTACTGCAGATTATTCAAGAAGGCGTTTGACTTGATGATTTGGCTATTTGAGATTTTAGACATATTTAGTAAAGGGAAAGAATGTTACTAGGAGTGGAATAGAGAGTGAGTTCAAAGATAATGCTTATTTAACCACATGTCTGAGATCAATATTGTGCTAACCAACAATATGGATTTGGTTATAGACAGCTGGAGGCCTCAGATTATAGTCCAATTTTTAAAAAATCTGAGGCCTTCTCTTGCTGGGGGCTACATTTTATATTTTAAGTGAGGCAGGAGAGTGTTTTGATTCTCATTCCTCCTTCCTCCAACAGAGGCAGACCCACTCTTAGCAACATAACCAAGAAGAGAATCCCACAGATTGATTCAAGGGGGCAATGGAAGGGTCTGCTTATCCAGAAGACCACTGTGTCTTTCTGTTTCCTCCCCCTCTCTCCTTCATATGGGGTACAACATGGGTTCTTGAACTTGGCATACTAAGTTCACACTCTGGTCTCTTCCTTCCCGCCATCAGTTCCACCTCTCTCTTTCCTCGCATGTCCCACCATGGATGCAGTGCTCTCTCCGGCCACACTACGTTTTGTAAAACTGTCATATATTCTTTCACACATGTGAGAAAAAACTGCACTGTTTTCTTTCTGACCAACATGGTCGCCCCGCTTTTCTGCCTGGTAAAATCACAGGCTTCCTCTCAGATTCAGATGGAATATTGGTTGTTCAGGGAGGTTGTCCTGTATCCTCCACACCTTGGATCAAATATTCCTGTTTCTGTTCTCCTCCAGCAGTGCCCTCTAAATGATTGATTATGCCCCATAGCTACCTATACCTATTTAGAAGTTATATGTGTGCCACTGTACCAATTACGTTTATCTAAAAACACACAAAAATAAAAAAATTTAAAATATGAGATAAAAAATATAAAGACAAGTTCTAATTTTTTCTTGTCCCCACCCCCACCCCCAGCCCAGGGTGCTCACCTTTTGTACATAACTCCATCATGTTCCTAGCATCTATGGCATTCTATTATAATTCTGTTTCGATACCCTGTCTCATTTGCCTTTGTATCCACATAATGCCTTACACAAAGTAGCTGCATATAGATATCTGTTGAATTAACCTATATAACATTATAAATTGTTTTTCGTACCGACAGTTTCAAGTTCCCCTAATCTCTCAGTGATGACAGATTGTAGAAACTGGTGTGTTGACCGACTTATCTGATCAACTGCAGCTTGAAAGTCCAGTGAATTGCTTTCCTTCACTTAAACTGTCCCCACACTCGTGCTCACTTAGGTTTTCTCTTCTCTCAGTCTTGGGTTTATGTCTTAGGGCACAAATGAATGTCAATCCAATCCCAGGTCTGGGGCTGTTAAAAATTCCAGATCTGGGTTTGTTCTTGAAATGAAGTTCTTGGACGCCACCATCTCAGCTAGGACGGGGTCATTAATTTGCAAATGTGAACGTCTCCCCAAACAAGCCAAAAGCCCAGTTATTCTTGCAAGTCTTCAATCAGAGGAAAAAAACAATAGGAATATAATTTAAATAGTCACGATTGCCATTTCTGAAAATTCTGTTCAAGTTTGGGCATTTAAGGCTCAGTGCTTTTTCTTATGAGAATTATCTGACTATGAAATACTTGTTAAAAAATGGGATTTTTAAAAAATACTGGTACCTTGTTGTCCTCTACAATGTTCACTCTAATTGTTTAAATTATACTGCTGATGGCCAAGCTTCGTAGGCAACAACATATTAATGTGTTAATAACTGAGTTTGTGAGTTCTACAAAGACAGCCCATGTGCTTGTGCCCGAGGGGGAGGTGGCTCCGTGAGTGCATCTTGACTCTACATAATGTTCTTTTTTTTTTTTTTAAGATTTTATTTTTTTCCTTTTTCTCCCCAAAGCCCCCAGGTCCATAGTTGCGTATTCTTAGTTGTGGGTCCTTCTAGTTGTGGCATGTGGGACGCTGCCTCAGCGTGGTTCTGTGAGCAGTGCCATGTCCACTCCCAGGATTCAAACCAACGAAACCCTGGGCCGCCTGCAGCAGAGTGCGCGAACTTAACCACTCAACCACGGGGCCGGCCCCCTCGTGGAATGTTCTATAGCTTCATTTCCCAGCTCCTTCCAATAACCCCCAAAACACACTCTTTTTTAAAAAAAGGTAATTTGAAATCGTTTCTATAAAGAGTCTTGACTGAACACTTATTCTTTATTTTGTTCTCAAAATATGGACAAGCTGTTAGGAATGCTGCTTTTGTTTGGGGAATCCTACAGATAAAGAAATTGATAGTAGATTGTATGCTGTATAAAGAGTCGTTTAGGGTTTGAGTTGGTGTTGGGGATAATAGACCACTCATTCATCCTTCCCTCTGGGCATTTATTCCTAAATGGCCTACACCCAAGGAAGTACCACTTGCGCATAACCCCTCTCGCTGGGCTATAGCTAAGCTGGATGTATACGGCTGAATACGGCAGAGGCCAGGAGGCTTAAGTGAAGCCTCTTTCTTCCTACTCCTTCCCTTCCAAATCTAACGTGGCTGGGTCTGTAGAGCAGGGCAAGTCCACTTGCCCAGACAATCAAACGGGCAGGAAAGACATGTTCCCTCAGGAGCAAGGGCCTGTGGAGGCAGAATGTAAAAAAGGAAGCGCCTCTTGTCAGTCCTGACCTTTAAGTCCAGTGACACAGCTCACTAGCAAAGTGCAGGCCAGAGCGTGTCTTGAATTCCATTCAGTCAGACCAGCAAGTTTTCCTTCTATGACAGCACTAAGAAAGTGGAACTGACTATAAGGATAAGTACGGGTTAAAAGTATCCATCCACTATGGGGAAGAAGGACTAACATGATGAGAACTTCTCAAAATTCCTCTTCCCCAGTGATGGTAATATTCAGTTCTGTGATTTGCTGGTGTTTTCTAAATTTTGTGGATTTGAGGTTATGTATCTGTCAGGTTAGGCTGCACCATGCTGCCATAACAAATGAACCCAAAGCTCTCAGAGGCTCACATAATAAAGATGTACTTCTCTCACACACTACATGCCTCTCAAGAGTCAGCCATAGTTCTGCTCCATGTCATTTTGATTCTAGGACCCAAGATAACAGAGCAGCCTTTG